GTTCAGATGTACAACGATCCATGCTGGTCGTAATCCTTTAGACATACACACATGCTGCTGCTGCTGCTGGGCAGATCTTAATGAAATGTCAATATGAGAAGCTGAAGTGCTGCTCTGCTCGTGCATGATGATGATCAGGTGGAAGGGCAGCCAGGCGAGCAGCTTGCCAGCATTCCCAGGTGACCAATCCGGAATCCGACAATTCCTCCTAGCAATTTAGTTGAAGGGATTGACGAAGGCGCATGTTGTCTTCCATTTGCGAAGCACCTGTCCTGCGGTGACCTTCTAAAGCCGTCCGGAGGAGACCTTCTTCATCGTCTTCCTGTCCTTATATCCAAATCACCCTTAATTCAACAGCAGCAACATATGCGTTCCGCTTCATTGCAAACAATGCACTTAATTGCTGGAGCTCCATCCCTCACGCGCCCTCCCTCCGAAAAGAAGCACCAATCATCATTAGCTTCCTCCCAGCACCGTAATATTATTTGTGCTCGTAGCTTCTCCACCGCTAATTATCTCATTCCTTCAAAATTCTCCAAGGAAAAATTTACCTTTCTGCCCTTTCCTGGTAAATAATCATAAATCAAGAATGTACTGTCAAACAAAGCAACGATCGGTGGTTCCTGCTCAAAAAGAGCTATCCAAAAAACCTTGAGGAACTCTAACAGTAATAACCAAAGAAACTCTCAGTTCTTCTGCATCACAAAAACTGCTGTTTCACACACATCTACTTCCAGTGCCTGATTGCAGACATTCTTTCACTTCGAATGATTTAGTGGACCTTGTTGGCTTCCAACAAGGAGGATACGCTTCAAATGGACACTCCGAGTGGCCTTTTCAATCCATTTCCAGCCACTTTTGTACATTTTTCACACAAGTAAAAATCATAGTCTCACGTACTGTGAAGGCTAACAAGCATGACACAGTAGAGAGTATACTGTTGCTGCGCAAAAGGCCGAGGATTAGGCTCAGCTAGTTTTCCAGCAGTAAAGCGGTGCTGCCGCATAACAAAGACAAACCCGCCATCAGTTTGCTTGTAAGCATTCCTTGACAGAGGCAGTCCTCAATAGCTTTGCTCCAAGAAGTGGTTACTGTCCGAATTTCTTGGTTTGTTTCCGACTGCCTCTGCCATTCACAGTTACAGTGAAAAAGGAACTGTTTTGACTTTTTGTAATGAGTTTGTTCAAGTACTTAAAGAGTAAAGCAAAAAAGCTAATAATTTTGTTTCATTTTTCGTTAGCTTATTGACCTTCTAACCAAAATTTGGCATTTTTCTGCCAAATTTTACTTGATTTCTAAGCAACCGGGTGGTTTCCAGTCATCATAATAATCCTCGTCCTCTTCTTACTTTTATTATTCTTCCCACCCCCTTCGTCCTTCCTCTCCCCATCCCCATTCCTCCTCTTTTTCCTCCTTTTTCTCCCGCACTTTTGTTCTTCAGTACATTAATGAAATGAAAAGTTATTTGTAATGTTATCAGTTCAAATCACATAAGCACAGATGGATTTTTCCCTTAATCTGTTACATAATTCTTAGGTATGTTTGCAAACGTGTCGTGCGATCGAGGCAAACGAGCGGTTGGTGGCTGATCGTCATCTCGAAATTGAGCAGAATTTGAGTCCACCCGATGATGATGATGATGATGATGAAGAAGGAAGTGAGGATGATGAGTACCAGCATCTGCAGGAACATCGTCCAGAAAATGCAGCCACGTCGTCGGCCTCATCGCCTTCGCCGCCAATACCATCACCATCATTATCATCTACAGCTGCAGGAGCGGG